ACTCCCCTATATTCGTTATACGGGTACGTGCCGCCAAACAGGGTATGGTTTTCAGCGATTCTACTCTGGAACAGGGTATATAAAATCGCGTGCGCTCTGGGAGAGGGTATATGAAATTACGCTTTATCCTCTCTGGAACAGGATATCCATTTTCGCAGTACCAGAACAGGGTATGATTTTCAGCGATCTTGCTCTGGAACAGGGTATGAATTTCAGCGATTTTACTCTGGAACAGGGTCAGGGTTCAGTGGGCTCAGCGGCACATCCCTACCCGAAACTGGCAAGATTACCCCCGGGTGACAATGTTCCCTTTCTACCAAAATAGCTCAGGGGGAGGGGGGTCGTGGGGTGAATCCCACACTGCCACCACACACCCCCAGATAAATTTTTGATCTTCTTTTTCCTGCCTGTTTCTCTGGGCTGTGCGGTCTTTTCACCAAAACTGGCTTAACTGTTATATCACATCTTGGTTAAATATACTGTGAAATGTGGGTGAATGAACAAGCGAGGACGAGAACCTTAATTATTTTAATTGAGGTCATATTGCGCTTCTTTCAGGAACGATTATCCATGTGAAATGATTCCAATGCTGAACGTGGTGTTGTTTAAGACAGCAGACGCTTGTATTGACATCAGAGAAAAAGCCTCTCAACTATTGCAAATATTAGAACGGTAAGTAATATATTATTACCTTTTGAGTGCCTTGAAGAAAATCTAGGGCATACTATTGTCGTCTTGTTTATAACAGCTGCCGTTATTGTTTTCTTTATTATTTTCAACGCTCCAAAGTTGAGCAACGGGACACGAAATGATGCCTTTGAGCTAATTCTGTACGACTGAAAAATTCATAAAAGGACCGTGACCGTATCCTTGACGATTTTGTTTGTGTCTGAGCATTTTGATTTGATAAGCAGTGATCTCGCGTGCTGTGATTGGTAAAGGATCTCGTCAATTCCTTACCGTGCCGTTCAATTTCACAGTCATACAGTCTTTGTTGACACAAGTGAAAAACGTCTGCGCATGCACTAAGATATTTAATATTTGATCTTTTTGATATCTATCTTTATTTACAGACGGTTTTTCAAGTATACCCCTCCATCCATCTCCTGTTCTGCTCACTGTAGCTACTCTCAGTCTCAAAGAGAACTGTCCGAGGCTCTAGCCAGGGCACACCCAGAGATTACAGTCTACATGTTTGAAGGTAAACCTTTTACATTAGTTTTCAATGGAGCACGACCCAGTCTTCAATTTCGGCAGACACAAACTTTGGTTTTAGAAGCCTGTCAATCAGACTGTTCAACTACATTCCTAAAGCCACGTGGTGCAACTTGGAAAATGTATGAATACTTTGTTATAAAAAAAACTGTCCTTTGTTCACGAGGGTAGCACTTAATAGCCAGTGGCTAACAAACCTGTGGCCCTCATTCCGTGATCGAATTGGAATTTAGGAGTTGATTTTTGTGCTTTTCCATTCTCTCTTTCTTATTTTCTCCCACTATTCTTGTTTCAGAAATGACATCTCGTTTCCAGAGTAGCTCCCTTGCAGGTCAGCGATGTATACTACAGTACATGCTGCCTTGGTTGGCCAACATTGAGCTGGTTGATCTGGCTAACCCACCAAATGCACCACAAGTAGAGGTAGAATTTGACCAAGAAGACGAACATCAGTTCATTCTCCCGATAGAGTTGAACGATGAAGGGTGGGGTTCACTCGAGGCTACACAGTTAGTTCTAAACAACCTATTCTACATCACTATTAAGGTAATATACTAGTTATCTTATTTTTTTCTAAACCTTTTGTGATGTAAACCTAAAGTAGTTTAGCTTAAACTAAACCAAATTGAAAGTCCGTGAAGTCGAAAAGGATCATTGAAGCCAAGACCGATTGCTATCCTGGGTAGTCAATATTCTCGGCATTCGGAGATTGTTTGAATACAGATACATCTACAAACACCCAAAACTTGAATAATTGTTTGAGAGCTGCAAAACTAGAATTTGCATAATATTAGCCCAATTTACCGTTTACTTAGAACACCCTTTGTTCTTTTCTTCGAAGATTGAACCTTTCAGACCCGACAACGTCCCCCCCCCCCCAAATTTGGTGTTTTTGTTCTTGGATGTTAACTAATGCACAGTGCTTTTATCCACGTYTTTGGATTTCCCCCCCTCCCCCCGAAAAATTACAGAATATCATATTCATTTATCCCTTACGATGAGTTATGAACGCTCCCTTAGGTATTTCATTTTTTCCCCATTTAGTATGACGATCAGTTCAGCAAAGAGATCGAAGCTGCTTGGGCAAGTCTCTGCAGTCGTTGGATTAACAATGTACACGAGATCTTGAGCTACCTGATCACACTATCCGGTGTTGTGGGCCACTCTGAAGTACTTGTTCATGTAAGTTAGTTGTCAAAACAAGTTGTCGTATGTAGAGTTGTTTCTTCAATGGATAACGACATTGATGATGACTGAATTGGTGTATTGAATGTTATCAATTGGTACTGTGACCATGTCCTGAGTTTTCACAGTTATCGAACTGGTTCATGTTAGGTGCTTTAGGTACTGGGGTGCTTACCATTTAAATCAATCCATCTGGTTACAAAACTCGTTTGTTAATGTTACCGTYGTTTGCATTGCTACGCGGCCACCCCAGACAAAAATCGGGACGTGCACTTTGCAATAGACTGCCGTCAATCAAACACGTTGACGTCATTTACACGCGTGTGTGATTCAAAAGGCGCCAAAACTTGTCGATTGTTTACAAGTATTATGAGCCACACTCACCGGGCCGATCCAAATGCGTTTAAATGACGTCAAYGTGTTTGATTGACGGCAGTCTATTGCAAAGTGCATGTCGCGATTTTTGTCTGGGGTCGCCGCGTAGCAATGCAAACGGCGGTAAGGAAAGAGCGGGAAATTTTGACATCCGACAAATGGTACAGACGTCTACCGGAAGAACCGAAAAGAGCGGGAAAAGTGGATTACGTCAATCGGAAGACCTAGTTTTCCGGAACTTTCCGATTGGAATGATGCATGCCATTTGTTTTTAGACCGGAATTTCAAGTTTTTCTGCGTTAATGGTAATCACCCCTGATCGTTTTGTGCTTTATCTTGTGTATTCAGGCCAAGAAGCTAGCTGTATACATTGCAAGAGCCCAGACTGAAAAGACAGTAGAAGAATTGATGGAAGAACTTAAGGTTGGTAGATCTCACTATCTTAACTGTGGCAGACGATCGTGTTTAATGCTTGCTGGGGTTTTTAGAATTAAAGGAATTAAACTCAATGTAGGCTGTTCCTTCAGCTGATAATAACTGTGCGCACCTTTTTGAAAAGATTTTGTTGTTTTTGTTACTGTTGCTGCTGCTGCTGTTGTTGTTGTATTCTTCTTGCTGTTATTGACGTTGTTGTTGTTGCTGCTGCTGTTATTGTTGTCGTTGCTGTCGTTGCTGCTGTTGTTGTTGCTGCTGTTGTTGCTGCGGTTGTTGTTGCTGCTGTTGTTGCATTGCTGCTGCTGCTGTTGTTGTTGTCGTTGCTGTTGTTGCTGCGGTTATTGTTGCTGCTGTTGCTGTTGCTGCTGTTGTCGTTGCTGCTGTTGTCGTTGCCGTTGTTGCATTCATTGTTGTTGTTTTGTGATTGCTGCCCACAGGTCAGATAACAACACTGACGTTTTTTGATTGCTTTTAGTTGACAGAAACAGTAGCATCGCAGTTTGAACGTAGTGACGGACCACCCTACTTCCGTGTGGTCAACAAAACCTCGTCAAGCAGAGACTCCATATGCGATCCCCCTCCTGTAAAGAGTACTGAATCAAAGGACAAACCCAAACCATTGGACGAAATAGGAAAAAAAGAATCCAAAGAAGAAAGGAAAGAAAAGGTTGAGAGTTTACCAAGGATGAGCAGCCTCGAACAAGGTCAGTGGAGATAAGTTACCAGTAATGATTTAAAAACGGAACCTAGAATTATATTTTCACTGGGAAAATAGATAGGTTATTGCGGTTGTAGGGTTGTTATGCGCTGCTACAGTTATGTTTGTAAATGTATAGCTACCTTTCAATCCCATATAGGTAAAAAATTAACTTCATAGCACTATAACTTATCTATATTTCTATATCTTCATAATTTCTTAAAGGCCAGTTTAGGCGGTACGATTTTTGCCTACAACTATCGTATACAACACGCTCGCGCCATACAACTCAAGTCGTAGCGTGTAAATCAAGTCTACAACTTGCCTACAACAGACGCGAGCGTGTTGTATACGATAGTTGTAGGCGAAAATCGTACCGTCTACACCGGCGTTAATTGGACAGTTTATTTAATTTTCAAGAATTGTCGAATTAAAAAAATATTTGGACAGTCCTTGAAAATTAAAGAATAATTCGGCTTTTACCTATATGGAATAACAGGTAGCTATATAATTAATAGGTAACAGGAATTCATGCTGTCCAATTAGACTCGAAAAATTCCTATGACTGCCAAATTGGACTCGGCCAACAACCTCGTCCAATTTTAGCAATTCTTGGAATTGTCCTCGTCCAGTTATTTCATAATGTTCTTTTAACCTCATTTTCTCCTCATTTTAATTACCGTTGTTTTCAGCATCAGGTGCCAATGAACAAGGTGACGTCGCTCCTCTAGCCCAACCTGAAGACGTAGAAGATGAAACAATCATTGACGAGGGAGGGCAGGAGGTATTCTGGCCTCTAGAGTGGGCCATAAGGGTCCATAAGCTTCAAGGCGCACCCACCCCATTACCTGTACCAGACAGACAGAAATACTTTGCACCATTAGATGATATCCTGCCATTTGCATCTACCGCGGCCTCTTTGTACAGGTAAATGTAATGGTGCTACGATTGGGTGGGATGTGTGTTGTTTATAGTTCCATCTTGTGGGAACCAAGGGTGGTGTAGCAGTAGTGCACTCACCTCCCCTCTGGGGTCGTGGGTTCGATTCCTTGACTCGGCATCACATGTGAGTAAAGTTTGTTAAGTCTTTCTATTGATTCAAGGGTTTTTATCAGAGCTCTCCGGTTTGATACGCCTACGGGTCGTTTCCAGGTTCGATCTGTGAGTTAGCCGTGCCCTGACTTAGATCAGCCGAGAGGTTGTTTCAGGGTATCAATGATTCGTATAGGACATAGATAGATATCATGAAATGTGTCACATGGTTTTTTAGGTGTAACTTTGCTCTGATGGTGCTGACAGAGCTGGTACTCGATCAACCACAAGTGGAGTGGGACCGCCATCTTCCCCTTATGTTGCATGTCATCTTCTTAGGTGAGTGGCATTATTTAAGACATGGTCAATATGTCTCTCTATATACCTTCGCCCACACCTATTTGTGGAACTAGACTTGACATCACATATCAGGGGTTTTTTTTCGGGGTTCACTTGAGCAAGCATTCGCTGCGATATGGAAGTACAGTCAACTCTCGCCTCGTGGACACCCTGATATTAAGGACACCTCGCTATTACGGACAGGAGAAAATTCCTTGGCAAAAATACTGACAAAGAAATGAACAAAATTAATTCTTGCTATTGCGGGACATCAAGTGACGGTCCCGAGGGTGTCTGCTGTAACCAAAGTTGACTATAAATTAAAATACCTTTTTTGACCTTGTCATTTATAGGTTTAGACCATGGCAAGGCGCTAGTATATGAACACTGCAAGCGATTACTGGTCAACCTCGTCATCATTCTAGTGTGTCACGGAAATTACATCCACATTGCTCAGCCATTATCTGACTTCATGGCTGCCTCWGAACAAGGACTCGGCAAATATGGACTGCAGAAGTCTTTATGGACACTGGATATTGGTAGTATGGTGCGCTTTCCTGAYAAYTCACAATCCAGCGCTGGCGCTGGCTCCAAGGATCAGTCAGAACAAGCACAACGTAAAGACAGTAAACATGATGCAGAGTCTGAACCTTTCAAGTAAGTGACGCTTATCCACCATTTCTTTAGGATGATGATTTGTTTTATGGGAAGCATAAGTGACGTAATGGGAGCGCTCGCCTCTCATTGGTTCAATGCGACTGGGGTCCTGAGTTCGATCCCCGGACTCAGCGTCGCATGTCTGTAGACTTGTTTGCTTTAATTCGATCTAAAAGGGCCTACATGAAAATTATTCTTTGATCCTAGTAAACCTATCTAATTGTTGTTATTTTTTGTGTGTGTAGAACTAATAGTGACGGTAACGGGCCTCCTTCCTATGTAGATGGAGCTCTAATCTAATCTAATTTAAAGCGCTTAGAACAACGATGTATAAGCGCTATATCAATTATATAATAATAATAATAATAATAATGATGATAATAATCAGTAGCTTTAATAATGCATTATCGTAGGATCCTAGCCAAAGAATGTAATCAAAATCTTTATATATAATATCTAAATATATCTGCAACAAATTAATAAATAAAATTTTTAAAAAAGAGAAAAAGAAAAACTATAATAAAATATACTATGATAAAAATATATCTACTAATTAATGTATAACCATAAAATCTATTTAGTAAAAACTAATCCTAATAATATATGTTTAAAAAAACCAGTGTGTTTTGAACATTATTATTATTATTATTATTATTATTATCTAGTTTTGAATATTCATTGAAAATAATAATAATTATTATTATTATCATCATCGCAGCGGCAGATTATTCCCAGTATCTGATTATGACACCAAGGGTTAACGACGCACTCATTCAGTAACTAAGGCCTTGTCGCAGGTCTCTATATATGTACGTGTGACTTAAACCATTGTTTTTCACAGGTTTTTTGTTGCGGGCAACGAAATTCTAGGAGATGACCAGGATGACAAACACGAAGAGAGTAGCAAATACGAGCAGGTCAAGAGCTTGATTGAATTCCTGGCCAACAGGTACTTGTCACTATGTTTCTTCTTCACTCGTCTCTCGTCTCTCACCTTTCAAGTTTTATTTCCAGACACGGCATCACAATCAAGTAGATCTTGTCAGGTCTCTTTATTCTAGGGTTTTTCTCCAGATTCTCCTGTTTTCCTTCCTCTGCAAAGCCCTAACACTCACTCAGGGTTTCATCTGTGAGTTAACCATTCCCTGACTTAGATCATCCCGGAGGTTGTTTTAAGGTTCGATCTGAAGGTTAGCCATTCCCTGACTTAGATCATCCCGGAGGTTGTTTTAGGGTTCGATCTGAAGGTTAGCCATGCTTTGACTTAGATCAGCCAGGAACTTGTTCGATAAAGGTCTTTAAGAGTCTTTTGACTTTACTGACAATGTCGTTGAATAAAATATCCAATGAAAAGAACCCCAAAGAGAAATTATTTATACTTCCGGTTGACGTCGCCGTCGTAGATCTTGCAAATCTTAAAGCCCCTATTATCAATTCAAAACCCGGGACATGCTTTCCTTCAAAATTCAAACCCTATATAAAACAATAGAAATAGGGCGTGATTGTTTTTTGTTTTTTTTATATTTTTTTAATTAGGGTTCGATCTGTAGATTAGCCGTGCCCTGACCCTGATTTAGATTAAGGTTTTGTGTGTGTGAGTTTCTTTGTTGTTGTTTTTATTGACTTGTTAAGATAATTGTTATTTTTGCTCTTTCTAGTGCCACCAAACCCCTGTGGTCCTTCGAGGACATCACGCCTCGCTGCTCCAAAATCAAAAGCGCAGAACAAATGGAGATTTTCATTGCTTTACTCATCCACATCTTCAGTGGCTCTGATGTTGGTTATGAAGTGCAAGATAAGTGGGCTAAGATGGCCCTTCATTGGGCGACAACCTGCTCTTCCAGGCATTACGCAGGACGATCCTTTCAAATCTTCAGAGCGCTCAAGGTTCCTCTCTCGTGGCCAATGCTTAGTGATGTTCTTTCTAGACTGGTGGAGTCTGTTGGTGATAGTAGTGAAGATGTTCAGGTATATCCATCCTCCTCCTCCTCGTTCTTCTCCTCCTCCTCCTCCTCCTCCTCCTCCTC